ATTATACATCTTGGCTAGAAAAGATTTTGAGACCCTAGGCTTCAGCCTGATAAGCCTATAGGTAAATCCGGCACTGCAGAAAGAGCTTCAATAAAGCCATGATAATGTCTTCACTATGTTGCTGAGAGGAGTCGCACTACTTAAATAGACTGGTCCACTTGTAATATATAGAGCGCCGTTTTCGGGGAAGAATTTCTAACGGCGTTGGTATTAATGGCATGAAATTAAAATGCATAAAACGTACAACGATAACAATAATAAAAACTTGAGAATCGTGTTGACATAAATAACAAGAATTTGTATTTTCTTTTTGTGATGTGAATTACAGAATATGGTGTGTGTATAAAAATCTTCTCTTATGTTTAAATGTTATTAACATTTCTTAGAACCAGTGTTCCTCGCCCTTTTTTTTAAATTAAGGGCGCACTTGAGGAATAACTAAAACTCTGGGGTGCACTTTAAATTTTGATAAGGAAGTATTAGACATGAAATTAGAAAACAAGGATTTATTTTCAGGGCATTACATTTTCAGAAACAAGGATTTATTTTTAGGGTATTACATTGTATATTCAAGTACGCTTTGTGTGAAACCTGTGCCTGATGTCATTTGGCAAAGAAGAATCTAATGCTTGTCATTTTTGGTTTAGCACCCGCAAAGATAGCTGTATAGTTTTCATTTAATGAGATTTATGAAGAATTTGCATTTTTTTTTTTTAAAGAGAGGTCGATAATGACTGATTTAAATCCCTTGAGAAAAGTAAAAAGAGAGGAATTAACCATTCCTTCTATAATAGGAAATCTTTAATGTTCATGAGTTGTGTCCCTTGAAACAGCCAAGCTGGCGAAATAAAACATATAGCAGAACCACGTGTCTGACTCAATAAAAGTAAAAACGAAATACCACTGCTAGTTAAAGATTAAGGAATTTAGCAGCCAGTTTAAAATATCAAATAACAAAGACTTGCTTCAGACATGGAAGTCATGTGTTTCGTGTCTCTAGGTTTTTAAAAATAAAGATTTTTATATATAAAAATAATTCATAACTGACGCTTCTGTTAACTTGGGGCGCACCAGGCCACCTTTCATGGTGCATTAGTGTACCTCTTTGAGAAATGCTGGTTAGTGTAATGGCCTCACAAGCTATTAAGAATAAACTTAATTTAAATATTGTAAATTTCTGAGACGCAGAGTTATAGTTATTTACATACTGACTATTGTCCTCATCTTCGTTGTTATAACCACAACGTTTCAGTCGTTGTGCTCTTTGGTTTTCATCAGGCGCTTGTCAATCTGAACACTGAAATTCTCTGAAGGTTACCCAGTTCGGCAAACACTTGATGAAAGCAGGGTACAACGTTGTGATAATAAAAACAAAGATGAAGATAATCGTCCGCTTGTAAATAATGTAAATAGTTACCACCACTATTTTGTATTTTTTATGTCTTTTTCATTTTGTTGGTTGACCAGAACATGGCTGGAGACACACATTGCTGAAATGCATTACCCACTGTTATAACTGTGTTCATATCCACTGTTTGGTTTCCATAAACATTCAGCAATCATCGCTCAATGTCAGTAGGTACATTTGTTCTATGTATTGGAATTCAATAACACATTTCTGCTTCATATTAACTTTTATGCCATTTTATCAGACTACTAAAGGGTAAAATATATGGGTTACTGGTAGGAATGTTCAACCTCTGTTGCTATACTGCAAACATAACAAAATAGCAAGCATTACTTTCAAAGTGACCCTTGCATACTGTGAGTGTATATTTTTAAATCTATGTGTGTGCTTAATACTGGTGGGTGGGCTCTTAATAAGAGGGAGGTCAGAAAATTTCCTTGGAAAGATTAAATGTCTAAAAGGTATAAAAATGATTTTTTACTTTCAGGGAACTTTGAACTGAATATTTTATTTAATCTATGGGAGTTGATTGTTCTTGTTCTGCGGCCCATGTTTAGGGATTATCTCGTCTAGATCTTATTTAGTAATTTTCACTGAAACACGAGTAATCAGACTAAGTTTAAGATTCCCCGTCCTACACACAGGATTGTCCCTAGTGAATTAAAGCATTGCTTTATGTATTTGCTTATATAGCCGCTAGCGAATCTTGTCATATATGGGAAGGATATTAGAATAACCCAGAAAATATACTGGCAGCAAACCACATGCATACAGATAGAAAATAAGTTCAATGAATATACAAAATTAGAAAGGGGTGTAAGACAAGGGTGTGTCTTCTCACTGGACTTATTCAACCTATACATACAATTCTGAAAGAATTAGAAAGTATACCAGGATTCATTATTGGTGTCACGATCTTAACAGCATAATATATGCAGAGGAGACAGTGTGGATAGCAGACATAGAAGAGGAACTACAAGAGCACTTACAAAAGGTAGTGAAGGAAAGCAAGAAGAAGAAACATCAATTGCCAAAAGATAGAATGCATGACTGTTAGCAACATGCAAATTACAAATTAGAGATAAAAAAAATCAAACAAGCACGACAATTTAACAATCACGGAGGTGTTTGAACATAGGACAGAAAGTGAAAACACTGAAATTCAAAGGCGCATTGGGATAGCGAAAGAGGCCTTCCAAAAGTTAAGCAAAGTATTAAAAAAAAAAAAAAAGTTCGTTAGAAGCAAAGAAAAGAGTAAGGAACTATTTTGTAATATGAGTCCTCTTTTATTGCAGTGAATGCTGGACAGTCACCCAATTGATGAAGAAGAGACTTTAAGCAACAGAAATGTGATTACACAGAAGGAGGCTGAGAATATCATGGACCAACCATGTGTGCAACAGCTAAGATTTATAGAAAATGGAGAGAAAAATGACTCTTATATTTAACATTAGAAGAGATAGTTGATATTTCTAAGGAACGCAATAAGGAAAGAGGGCTTGGAAAATTTGATACTCACAGGGCAGATTGAAGGCCAGAGGAAACCAACGCATCACCTACCTAGCGAGCTTGAGTAAATAGATGGTGGAACAAAAGATAAATTTTATTAAGAGCTACAAAGGACATAAAATTGTAGAGGGCTTGGAAAATTTGATACTCGCAGGACAGATTGAAGTCAAGAAGGACAGAGGAAACCAACACATAACCTACCTAACGAGCTTGAGTAAATGGATGGTGGAACAAAAGATAAATTTTATTAACAGCTGCAAAGGACATGAAATTGTAGAGGGCTTGGAAAATTTGATACTCACAGGACAGATTGAAGGCAAGAGGGACAGAGGAAACCAACACATAACCTACCTAGCGAGCTTGAATAAATGGATGGCGGAACAAAAGATAAATTTTATTAAGAGCTACAAAGGACATGAAATTGTAGAGGGCTTAGAAAATTTGATACTCACAGGACAGATTGAAGGCAAGAGGTACAGAGGAAACCAACATATAACCTACCTAGCGAGCTTGAGTAAATGGATGGTGAACCGATGCTTAGGAGAGATAGAAGAACAGAATTTATTAAGAGCTACAAAGGACAGGAAATTGTGGGCAGCCGTGATCGGCAACATCCTGAACGGACACAGCACACAGAAGAAGGGCAGTGTAATTGAAAAAAGCAGTCTTTGTAAGAAAGATTAAGACTTTGTACAGCTAAGAATATGTGCATTTTTTTATTTTGCAAATAGCAAACGAATTATTCCTTAATTGGAAATGGTTATCGTTTTTGATTCACTATTATACATGCTCTCTTGAAGAAAAAGAGTTCAATTCCGGGGCCTGTGTGTACTTGGATTAATTCGAAACAGTACTAAATAAGACCTATTCAAGATATCTCTAGATATGGTCGGTGGAACAGGGTGAGATCAATCTATTCTTGTAGATTAAATAAAGGGTTCAGTTCAAAATTCCCCGAAGGTTACCCAGATTGACAAGCACTTGATGATGGCCTGAATGCACATTGATCGAAACATTTCTTTCTATACTAATATTTTTTTCACTTCTCAGTTCTGGAATTCCCTTTCGATAATCATGCTTCCCTGCAATCTTCAAAAATTTAAATGTAACGCCAGTCACCATCTGTTTTCCTGAACCCTGTTCTTTTATTGTCTTTTCTCCCCAGTAAAGTATTCTGATTCTATTCCGCTCTCAGTAACCACTTGCGTCTTATTCGTATTATTGCCTTGCTTGGGGTAAAATGATTAAAAAAATAGCCTGCATATAAACAATGTAATTGAAACTTAATTTTCTCAAAATGGTTTGAGCACAATTTGGCAAGATCCCAGAGGTAAATAGCAATACGGAGGTTCAGATCCAAGGTCGTAATTCCAAGGGTCAAAAATCAGTCTTGCAAATCTAACGTTAGACAATGTTGGGGGCTTAAATCAAAAGGGTCAAAAATCCACATCACAACTCGCAACGCACAACAAGCTTCTTTACCCACGAAAAATCAAGGCACCCTGTTTTGTAAATTTTTTTTTATTGGGGTAAAAAAGGCTGTGACTGGTCGAGGCTGATAGGGAAACAATTACCATATTTTGAGGCCCTACTAAAGTTGTCCTGATCTTGATTCTGAGCTTTACGGTCATATCCCGTTGAAACACCGGTTCCTGTAGGTTCACTGAAGTTAAGCAACGTCGAACCTGGTCAGTACCTAGAACCTTTGTTTTTTATGCAGTTTCTTTATATATCTCCTTTGTATATTTTTGAAGGCAGCATATGTTGATATGCCTTTGTAATACTAAAAATCCTATATCGCTCACCAAAATTTCCGATCCCTCACCATTTTCTGTTGAGTTGCTTGCTGCACACCCAACAGTTGAAATCGCCCACCAGCGGGTGATATCGCCTGGGATAAAAAGCATTCTAACTTTTCAAAAATATTTAAACAAATAATACATGAACTGCATTAAGAAAGCAAATGAAATATAAACTTACCTTTCAGAAAACGTCAATCGTTGCCAACTGACCAGTTAAAAGCACTTGTATATATGTGCATGGAGAGCAATTTAAAAAAATTCTTCCGTTACCATTATTGGTTTACAGCCATATCATATTGAAACATTCGTTCTTGTTCGATCACCGAAGTTAAGCGACGTTGAGTCCGGTCAGTACCTAGATGGATGACCGCTTGGGAATATTAGATGTGCGAGTGGTGTAATGGAAAATAGCTCGGAATTGTTAATTGGAGCGCCGAGTTCCAATTCCTGTTGGGTGCTTTATATTAACTTCCCATTTTGAAATGTATGAATCCACCTTTTCTCCCTCTAGCTATAGGTTAATTAGTAAGACTTGTATCAATAAATTATTATTATCTAAAAAAAATTCTTACTATCTAAAAATATTTTCTGGATTTAAATAACCTTCAAAGGGCCGTTGTACGCTCCGTCCTTCTTCGGGTGGTTGGAATTTCGAACTGAACCCTTTATTTCGATCACTGGGGTAGACTGTACTAGTTCCAAACTAGAACAGTCTACCCCAGTGATCGAAATAAAGGGTTCAATTCGAAATTCCAACCACCTGAAGAAGGCCGGAGCGTACAACGGCCGAAACGTTGTGACAAATATGGCGACAAAGATGAGGACAATAGTCCGACTAATGTCAATACTGTACATAATACCTCATCTCAGAAATATAGACAAACCTTCAAAGGGTTTGATAAGCCATAGAAAAACGAATCAATCAACTGATTCTGATTTTATTTTTCGACAGAGAGCATAGAGAAGACAAATTCTTTTTTAAGGTTAAACTTGATTTTCTCCTTTTGCATCACAATCCCACAAGAAATGACTTATTTGAATATTTACAATTTCTTTTCAAATTTCTTTAGCTTCTATGAAATAAAGACAAAGGGAAATGCATTTTGTTCTCGATGAAATCTTTATTAAATTTTTTTTTTTTTTTATTAAGTTATTTATATTGGGAGTGTTTTGATTTTATCAGAGCATTTGTCGTTCTTCAGACAACAAATTTTATTCTATAATACTCATTCCCTGTAATAAAAACTTGATGCTCAAGAGAAAGGAGTTTAGAAGGGAGGAGTCGATGAAATACCGAAATCTATACTTTTTTCTCTTGTTTCTATTTGTAGACTGTCTACCAATTATCTTTTCCTGGTGACAGATTTAACAGTAACGATTGCGACTTGTAAGCTTGGATGGCAGGAGTTTGAAAGAATATAGGAGGAAAAAAATGAGGAATGTAAGAGAAGGAATAGTAAAAAAAGATAAGAAAGAATTGAAAAAACAAACAAACAAATAAACAAAAGAAACAAGAGAAAGGAAATGTGGAAAGAGAAGAAGAAAAGTGAGAAGACGGGATGGAGAAAGATCTGGAAAAGGAGAGGTAGAAGAAGAAATAGGAAGAAAATAAAAGGGAGTTCGAAGAAAAGAAGAAGGAGAAAAAGAAGCGTCATGGGGCGTAAGAGAAGAAAAAATTACAGAGAACAAAATGACATAAAAAGATGCAATATTTATCAAATCTTTGACCTTGGCATGTAACTGAAGAAATTGTACAAAAATATTGTAAGGGAATTTATAATTATTTACTCGGAGTAAATAATTATAAATTCCCTAACATTTATATATACAAAAACACTCATAAAAATGAGAAAGAGTAAGGCGTAGAAACAACAAAACGATTTTTATTTCTTATCTGGTTATGTAGTGTTGCAGACACGAGAGATGGAAATACTGACTAAAATTGTGAATTTGGGATCAAATGTAAATCAAATATGGATCAGAATCCAACAGAATGATAAGATAAATAATAAGTAAAGTGTATACAGTCTTTCTCATATGTTTTTTTTTTATAGATGAGTATAATGAGTGCCCAGATAATTAAGTCGGGAAATACATGAAGTGTCTGGAGTTTTCTTACCTTGAATTTTGTTGATTGCTAAGAGACAAATGTTACGACTATGGCCTGAAAAAGGAAAATGATTTGAATTTTTCGTTGACGCACGTGTTGACGGCCTGTCTGTGTTGAGTGGCTGTCCGATTGTGAGAATGTTACATGTTTGTGTGTGTAGAGGAGAAAAGTGGAGTCGTTTCTGATTCGTGGAGAATGAGATAATTAATGATAATTATAATTATTATAATAATTTTATTATAATTATTTTTGACACTATAATTTTTATTTATTTATTTTATGGAAAAAACACAGTGACATTATAATTAATTGTTTTATTTATGTATTTCTTTACGGACACAACAAAAGCCTCCTTCAGATCGTTAGAATGCTTTGCATTTTGATGATAACCTGTAACAGGCCAAGCGATCATGCAGCTGAGGCCTCTTACTGGGGGTGATGTGAGTTTTCTTAGATAATCGATATAGCAGTTACAAACAGAAGGAAAATTCCTCTGTGAGATTAGTTTGATGTTTTTATGTGTTTTACATACCAAAACAAGAACTATAATTTACTAATTGGTAAATTTGACGATTATTGACGAATTTCTATAAATGTAACTTTGAATAAACAAATGTGTGGGGATAAAATAAAAATACAAAATAAAATAAAAATACAAAATTAAATAAAAGTACAAAATAAAATAAACATAAAAATCTCCCAGGAGTCCTGTGACAGGAAAGACAATTTACGCATGTGCAAAAAGAGAGATTTCCTGGCGCCAAAAATAAACTAGATCTTTTTCTCTGTTGGACCTTTGACTGGTGAACACGTGCCAACTGTTCGGGAATGAAATTCCCCAACAAGAGGTCGTTGGAATCTAAAAGAAGGAAATAAAATCAGTGTCCTAAACTGTCCCTCTAGTGTCTCCGTATCCTTCTTTTCTTTGTCTATTTATTTCAGCGACGAAGGCAATTCAACTTTAATTTTTGGATGTTTAGGTGAAAGAATCAACCCAGCACTAATAGCCATAACATCCATAAATGCAAATGCATAATATTTCAATGTGGGAACATTTTTAGAGAATTTGTACTTGTGTCAAAAGATCATGACTTGAATATTTTGGTAAAAATGGATGCGCACCAGTTGATGATATCAAACACAGAATCATAGTTTGTTCCATGCACTCTCTTTGTATTGAAATGATGTATTCCAGACAACAACATGAAGAATTTTGTTAAAGAATTTCTGTAAACCTTTGATTTGACAGTATTGAACATTATGAAACAGAAAAAAAGACACCCACTGAATAGTGGTATCCAGTGGAACTTTTAAATCACCACAATCTATTACTTCCAAAAAAACTTCCATACACATGATAATAAAAAGTAGTATCATTGAACATTTCCTCCACTATAAGACAATCTTTCCGAGTGCTATATCCTGCTATATATAAAAAAAGCGGCATTTTAATATCTTTGGGGATAACAATTTCTAGGTTTGGCAGGTGATCAAATGTTTGGCATGCCAATTCATCTAACATTTTGAGCAGTTATGGCCTGGATCATGTCTATACTCTCGAACATTAACTTTCAACCGAAGAAGTAATTTTGTTTTTTGAATATGAAATTTCTGAATAACATTTTGTATTGTAATAAGTACCGCCTGAACCTTGTCTCAATTTGCCAAATTCAGTTTCAAGGTCGTCGGTGGTAAATTCTCCAATAATAACAAAATGGAACCCACTGTCAAGTAAATGCCTGCAAACATCAATTAAATCATTACATCTATGATCGATAGCCATGATAGTGTCTCTTGTAAAGGATTTTATTCTCTTTTCTTGCTTTCCCCTCATTTGTTTTGCCATACTTCCAAAATTTGCAAGAAATGTCAAAATTTCATCATTTCGATCTAATATCACTCTTTTGAGTGGATCATTTGTCTTGGCACTTCCATAAAAATCTTTAACACTCACTATTTTCCAAAATTTCAAAACTTCTTCCACGAAAGTAACAGTTTCTCTTGTATCATCATCCTGTAATAATGGATGAATTTTCATTGCAGTTACAGTCTCATCACAAAACATTTTCAAACAGTGGGAAACTTTTTGTCTCTCAGCTGGTTTTGGAAGAACCACTATTTCTGTTTTTGATAACTTAAATTGATTTTTTTCACCACTTCCCATTTTGCTGTAATTTCTTTACCATCGAAATAAAACAGCAATTCTGAACAAGTCTCAGTTATCCAATTATTGAAAGTACTTTTAAATATATGTACATAATCGAAAAGCATGTATAAACCATTTTTAGTAACCCAAGGCTTATTTTCAACAGTATCAAATTTCTTGATTAGCCTGATTATTGTCACAAATAACTGCAATTGCATGACTTTTCAAATGATTAACTAAGTCAACAACTTTTATAACATTCTGAAACAAAAATTCTGAATTTAGTTTGGCAACTGGGATCATCTTAATAAAAAATTTTGGTCCACCATGTAAACATTTAATCATAATACGTTTTTGCTAATACCACTTCAAAATCTTTGGCAAAACCAAATAAGTTTCCTCCTTGATATTGTAAGCTAACTTTAGCATAAACTTCATCAACTTAGATGATACTTTTTTCTGTTCATCTGACATTTTGCTAAACACATCACCAAGAAAATTCAGATCATCTATCTTCGAAACTTTTGATGTCATATCCACTAGTGTTTTCACACTGGGTAATTCGTAATCATCTCGAATTCTGTCATAAGGAGACGGAGATGTGATAAAAAATTCGAATACCAGGACAAGAATTTCCGACTCGTAAATTTTTTGCCAACTATTTGTGGTGACATAACTTCGATATGTTGTCCCAAAACCTGTTTCTTTCGTTCAGTTTTTAAGTTACCAAAGTAACGAATTGCTTCCTAAATTTGAGAACATTTGGAACATATTCCTTGTTTTTCAATAGGAAGAAATGTGTGCGTATACCTGCATGGTAACATTCACATGTCAAGTTTTCAAAGATCTTAATAAAAAATTCCGAATACTTCCAGTGAAAAAAATGAGAAAACTGGATGAACTGCTGATTGTTCGATTTGTATCAGGTAACTGCTGTCGCAAAATCATGATGTCACTATCAACAAACAAATCTGTAAAATTCTCTATTCTATCTTTTTCTAAGAAACTCATCATTTTGCACACTTCGCACAGAAGCGGAACTTTTTTTTTGTTGTCCTTAGTTTTCAGTAAGGGACTTGATGGCAAATTATTGAATATTGATGGAGGATTTGGGGCCGTGCTTTTCCCTG